CACTGACAATGCGATTGCTGACTCTCTGTCTCGGTTTCAGATGGCCCGATTTCGCCGACTGGCACCCACAGCAGAAGACACGCCATCTCCGGTGCCCGAGAGCACCTACTCCCTCTGATGTTGGAGGGTCAGGCCTACCAGTGGCTAGGCCTGTCAGCGTCCACACGTGCCACATACGCGACAGCCTGGAAACGACTGCACCAATTCTGCCAACTAGTCGGCACCAAGGTGATTACAGACACCATCATGCTGGCGTTTGTAGCCTACCTGGCGCGTCAACATGCCGCGTCAACCGTCCGCCTGTATGTGTCGGCGATCCGGGCAATTGCCAAAGAAAACGGCAAAGATCTCTCGTCGCGAAGAGTGGACCTCGCAGTTCAAGGAGTGGCACGTGCACAGGCCAACCGAACTAAAAACGCCAGTAAGCCAATCCTCCTGCCCCACATGGCAGCTATGCGCAGGGCCCTGATACGGTCTAACCTCAACGCGACCGACCGAGCCATGGTATGGGCAGCTATTTGCCTGGGCTTCTTTGCGTGTCTCCGGGCAAGTGAGTACACTTCCACAACCGCCACGACCATGTCAGACGGTGGCCTCCGAACAGAAGACCTCTCCATCACGCCGCAGGCAATACAGGTCACAATCAAGAAGTCCAAGACCGACCAACTCGGCAAGGGTCACTCCGTCCGGCTCACAACCACCAACTCAACGGTTTGCCCGGTCAAAGCCATGCATACCTATCTATCAAGACGCCCCAACCTGCCCAATAGACCACTGTTCGTTGACAGCTGTGGCAAGTTCCTAACTGCACCAAGACTCACCCGTCTAATCCGTCAGCTCCTGAGCAGCGCAGGGTACCCACCTATCCAGTATTCACTGCACGGCCTCAGAGCCGGAGCCGCAACCACAGGAGCAATGAGCGGCTTCACCGAATCCGAGATCATGAAACTCGGCAGATGGCGAAGTGCCTGCTACAAGAACTATGTACGCTGTGGAAAGTAACTGTTCGCCGTCCGCAGGCGCGCAAGCGCGCACAGCCACACCCACATACACGCACCCGCAGACACATACACACGCACGCACACACACCCACGCATGCACACACACATGCATGCACGCGTACACGCACCCACAGTCTGACACCGCACAAGCATGCATGCAGGTACACACGCTGCGCACACGCTGGTACGCCCATTCGCGGACGTATGCACTCACGTTCTAGCACTGACTGTGCACGCACGCCTCTGATACTTATGATAAGTTATCTGCACCACTCTGTTGCTGTGCTACAGCTCCCACCTAGCGGTGTGGGACACCCCATGCTATGGCGGTGTGGGACACCCCAGACCATGGCGGTGTGGGACACCCCATGCCATGGCGGTGTGGGACACCCCATGCCATGGCGGTGTGGGACACCCCATGCCATGGCGGTGTGGGACACCCCATGTGTGCACGCACGCTCCGACTACATGCGATTCAAACCCTTCTCGGTGTCACTAAGGGAAAACAAACATGCGAAGGGCACGCATTTGAACTACGTACATGTAGCTGAAGCGCTTGAATACCACACTAAGGTCATTCGGCTGACCAACGCGGAATTTGGGGGCATTCGGCGGCTTGGTCTGATTCCTAGCTTGTTGGTAACCGGCTTGAGGTTTCCAAGGTTGCTATGACAACGTGCAGTCATGCGCAGGGCCACCCAACATGCGTTGGGGGCCCAGGAAAGACAGAAACGCGTTGCTAGGCAACAGCAAAAGCGCTCAGCGAGTATCACGCTACTCATGCAGCACGCACGCTGGCTTAGGGTATCACGCTACCCTTGCGCTGCGGGGTACCACATTGCCCCTCGCTGGAATCAGACCCGCGCCCCGGATACCTTGCGCTGGCCTCCTGACGGCCAAACTCAACCAACTTGCGCGCTGTGACTGGGGTTGTGCATGCCTTAGCAACATAATGTGGCCCAGGTCGGCAGACTTTCAATTAGCCAAGCGAGCTACTCAGGCCAGGGCGCATGATCACTATTCGCAGCACTTATCGTCCATGCAGCAGTCGGGTTAAAATCGGTTGTGGCGACAAACGCGATTAGGCCGGCTGCAGGGACGCCGTAATGTCGCACTCGCCCCAGCACCATTCAAACAGTTCCCTTTGGCAGTTCACGGCACGAACTTCAACAAAGCCCCGTGAATGCGTACTAGGGGAAGGCTAGACAGCATGTCTCTAGACATCAATAGGCATCGTATGAAAAGCCAGTCAATAGCACTAAAGAGCGAAAGCCTTTGTCACGGTTCGGTTTCACTCGCGCACCGGGCCCGAGCTGCCAGCGCAAACAAATGCCGGGCGCGAGCTGGCAGCACGAACAAACACCGTACTCACACGAGACCGCTGGGCCAACGGATGGCCACAGCCATCAAAAACAGGAACAAACCCATCCACGGCTCTTTCTCTTGCTAGCTGTGCTGCTGCGTGCATCCAACTGTTTTGCAATTTCTCCCTCCCACCCACGCCTCTTGATCTGTCCTAGCTCACTATTCTGGACAAATATTAATTCAATTGCAATGAAGCGCCGGGGGCCGGCGGGGGCATTCGGCGGCTTGGTCTGATTCCTAGCTTGTTGGTAACCGGCTTGAGGTTTCCAAGGTTGCTATGACAACGTGCAGTCATGCGCAGGGCCACCCAACATGCGTTGGGGGCCCAGGAAAGACAGAAACGCGTTGCTAGGCAACAGCAAAAGCGCTCAGCGAGTATCACGCTACTCATGCAGCACGCACGCTGGCTTAGGGTATCACGCTACCCTTGCGCTGCGGGGTACCACATTGCCCCTCGCTGGAATCAGACCCGCGCCCCGGATACCTTGCGCTGGCCTCCTGACGGCCAAACTCAACCAACTTGCGCGCTGTGACTGGGGTTGTGCATGCCTTAGCAACATAATGTGGCCCAGGTCGGCAGACTTTCAATTAGCCAAGCGAGCTACTCAGGCCAGGGCGCATGATCACTATTCGCAGCACTTATCGTCCATGCAGCAGTCGGGTTAATGGGGTGCTATGATGGGGCTGAGGTGTGTGAGCTTGTTGGAGCCTTCGCCCTCGCCATGATAGCGGACGTGTTCAACGGCAGAGACGTCGCGTTGTATCGCGACGACGGCCTGGCTGTGTTCAGGAATGCATCAGGACATGAAGCTGACCGAATAAGAAAGGAGATGACCAAAATATTCCAGAACCTCGGACTGAAGATAACGATACAGACAAACCTGAAGAGAGTCGACTTTCTGGACGTGACATTGGACCTGACCACCGGAAAGTACTGCCCTTACCGGAAACCGAACGACAAGCCGATGTACATCAACTGCCAGTCAAATCATCCACCTACAATCATCCAGAACCTACCTGCATCGATCAGCAGAAGACTAACAGATATTTCCAATGATGAAGACGTCTTCAGAGATGCGACTCCGATCTACAGTGCCGCGCTGAGGAAGAGTGGATACCGGGAGAACGTACAGTATTTTGACGAGCGTAAAACGGACGAGACAAAGAAGAAGAAGAAAACAAATCGCCCTCGGAACATCATATGGTTCAACCCACCATTTAGCAAGAACGTCGCCACCGACGTTGGACATCGCTTCCTCCAGCTAGTGGCCAAACACTTCCCCAAAGGCTCAAGCCTCAACAAAATCTTCAACCGGAACTCTGTAAAGGTTAGCTACAGTTGCATGCAGAATATGGCCACTATCATCAAACAACACAATAACACGATTCTACGACCCAAGAAACAAGCTAACGGAGGTGACAACGATACCAGGACTTGTAACTGTCGGGCGAAAGACTCATGTCCACTGGACGGAGCGTGTCTAACGGAGAGCATCGTGTATAAGGCAAGAGTCACCGCAGGTATGGAGAAGAAGGAATATACTGGATTAACAGCAACAAAATTCAAACAACGCTACTATAACCACCAATCCTCATTCCGCCACAGACAACACGAGAAGGACACCCGCCTATCGCAGTACGTCTGGACCAAAAAGGATGAAGGGAAGGCATGCAGCATTCAATGGGCGGTACACCCCAGAGCAGCGGCCTACAGCAACAAAAGCAAAAGGTGCAACCTGTGCCTGGCAGAAAAATTGGCAATCGCGCAAGCACCCAAGCACCTCTCTCTCAACAAAAGGAGTGAGCTTGTGTCGAAGTGTCGCCATGAGAATAGGTACTACCTTCGAACTTCAAACCATCTACAGCCATCACCTAATTAAGTAAGAGACAACCAGCTCCAGTGGTTGTCACCTTTCACCACTGCTGTCATTCACGCTTTGCACTGCCGCCATTCACAACTTTTAGATTTGCGCCATGCTGCAGCTATTTACACTTTCCTTTGTGAGTATATAAACCAATACTGATCCAGATTTCTCATTACTGTTTAATACCTGATGATGTGTAACTGTTACCGTTGAACTCACCAGCACACCAATGAGTAGTCGAGAGTGCAATGGCATCATCCTGTATCAAATCCATTATTCCCTTGCAATGGTCACTGACCAGTGCAGTCTGTGCACATTATGTAGGCTTACGCGGTGTACGGTGAACATACATACAGTTTCAATACGTCAGCAGCTGGTCATCATTCGTTGATGCATACAATGTAAATCAATACCGGTGAAATAGAAATGTGTTCAATGAGGAGTGAGGAAATTATGGTGAAACACAGCCCCCTTGGACCACACCATTCAATTCAATGTCCACAAGAACACAGGTTCTGGAAGTTTCATCTTTGTTCTTGCTTCTCAATGAACAGGGCGACACTTCCAGTAAAAATTCCATACAAATCCCATCTGGTAACGTGGCACCCCGTTCTTATGCTGATGGAGATGTGCGAATTCAATTCAGCGTATTGGAGGAACGGAGTGTCGCATCTTGCTCAGACCAACGCCATTTGACTCAGCATCCATATGACGTTTAGATCCAAGCCAGACGGCAGTACAAAAAAAAAAGTATGTTTGCTGGACTTACCCAGCGTGACTTCCTTCCGGACGACACCGTGGCATTCACTCGATCTGTGCCACTTCAAGTGAGGATAGTCCTTCAACCAGCACCAGCCGAATATCTTCGGACAGTCTTCTGGAGGAGCTTTCGGAAATTCTAGATGTACAAGCACGCACGCACACACACACACACACACACACACACACACACACACACACACACACACACACACACACACACACACACCGGGATCAATAGCAATGGCTGAGCAACTGGGATTTTTTGATTCTCGTGTATTTGTAGTCCAGCGGATTGTAACTGAAACCGTGTCGCGTGCAGAGGGGCGGGTACCATGGTTGGAGCATGCTGGAACCAGGAGTGCGTGGCACAGAATAAAGTGGCAGAGAAGTAATAATGGACCAAAGTCGATTCTGCTGATAGGGTTAGGGCTGTGAAGCGGGAGACGTTTGTTACATCTGGTTTCTTTGGGCACAACACAGTGAAGACAAAAAGCAGAAAAAGGGCTAATGACATCAGGGGATCTGTCCCAGGGTTCAAACATCATCGCTGACATGTCCCACGATGGTTATAGGTACCGTGTTTCCAGAATATAAGTAGACCTTTACGACCTAAAAACGGAACTGAAAAGGGGGCAGTCGACTTACAATAATATTGGGGTTTAACAGCCATTTTAAACCGGGAAATTGAGGTCCCCAAGTATGGGGCTTCGACTTCAATAGTATAGCTGGGGTGGACTTATAGACAGGACACTACGGTAATACATGAATGGCTTCATTGCAAAACGCGTTAAACGCCAATCTTAGGCATATGGCATTTTCGGTGTAAATCGACTCAGCAGGGATCACTGCATCTGATGGCCAAAAAGAATTCTCCAAAGGGAGACATATCCCACTGAAAATCCACGTTGAAGTTGACGATCTACTGCAAAACGCGATAAACACCACCGATGTTTTCGAGCAAAGTGCGACCTATCCTGTCGCGCGGGCCAGCGTGACCTGTGACAAGGCAGCGAGTGCTCGCGCGGCACGTGGCAAACATCGCGACTGTACAAAATGTGGATGTCAGGGTTAAAAGTACAGTGTTTTTGTGTTGTTGCTTTGTAGCGCATAAAGCAGTTACATCCGCATTGCAATTTTGTTCTTTTCGTATCTTCTTCTTCGTAGTGGTTGTTTTTCGCTTTCGATACTGCAAAGGGCAGTATCCTAGAGGCGTTAGGGATGGACGACGCTGCTGCTAGCAGTGCTGCTGCTGCTGCTGAGCTCCTTCAGAGTTCCGCGCTCAGTGAAGTCGTTGTACTAGTATTTCTAATCTCATAATACTGATTAGTCATAATACTGATTAGTCCGGCGGATATATCTAGTTTTGCCAAAAATATGTCGAAGAATCACCTTGCTTGAGAAAATGCCCCTGATTTTTGAGAAAGCCTGTATTTGAATACACCATCCTACTCTTCTAATCTGCTAAATGCCAGCGTTGAGTATCAAACTTTCAAAGCCAAGTTAGCCCGGGTGGGCACATGCACAGTGATGGTCTCATGATGCATGTCATCAATTATTATTCTGCGCCGAGTATGGTCTGTAATTTGCATTTATTTTGCACCGCTGCTACTTTGGCCTTTATACGCGCTGCAGGAGATAGTTGAATGCAGTTTGGTGTGTCTTTTCCTGCGGACAAGAAGTGGTTTTCTTGTCAGGCTGGTGTTTTCTCTCCCTCCCTCCCTCCCTTTTTCCAATGGCTTCCTGTGGGAGGGCCACATATACATGTCTGCTGTGTTGCTGCTACAATGTTGTGGCAGCGGCATCTTGATGTGGTTGACTGATGTTGTAACAGTGTACCCTTTTGCTGTTGCTGGGTGTCGTAGTTTGTCAGTTGTGCCTGTTTGAAGTTGCCAGGCCAGCTTGTATTGGTGCGTACCAGTTGAGTTTGCCGGGGCACCATATTTGTACCGGCGTTCCCGTTTGCTGTTGTCGTGGCCGTGTTTGTATTGGTGCGTTCCCGTTGAGTTTGCGGGGCACCATGTCTGTAACGGCGTACCTGTTTGCTGTTGCCGGGGCCGTGTTTGTATTGGTGCGTTCCCGTTGAGTTTGCCGGGGCACCATGTTTGTAACGGTGTACCCGTTTGCTGTTGCCGGGGCCATGTTTGTATTGGTGCGTTCCCGTTGAGTTTGATGAGGCACCATGTTTGTAACGACGTTCCCGTTTGCTGTTGCCGGGGCCGTGTTTGTATTGGTGCATTCCCTTTGAGTTTGCCGGGGCGCCATGTTTGTAACGGCATTCCCGTTTGCTGTTGCCGAGGCCGTGTTTGTATTGGTGCATTCCCGTTGAGTTTGCCGGGTGCCATGTTTGTAACGGCGTACCCGTTTGCTGTTGCCGGGGCCGTGTTTGTATTGGTGCGTTCCCGTTGAGTTTGCCGGAGCACCATGTTTGTAACGACGTACCCGTTTGCTGTTGCCGGGGCCGTGTTTGTATTGGTGCGTTCCCGTTGAGTTTGCCGGGTCACCATATTTGTAACGGCGTTCCCGTTTGCTGTTGCCGGGGCCGTGTTTATACTGGTGCATTCCCGTGCCCAGCGGGCACCACGTTTGTCAATTGCGCCTGTTTGAAGTTGCCAGGCCAAACCCGTTTGCTGTTGCCGGGTGACATGTTTGTCAATTGTGCTTGTTGCAAATTGCCGTGCTGTGCAATTAATAAGGCGTTAAGAAGTACGAGCCATGCATTGGCGTGTTGTGCCCAACGGCTCTTTGCCGTACATGGCAATTTGCTATCATTGGTGATATTTCAAAAGATTGGCAAATGTGGAAAAAAAGATAATAGGGATCTTTCGCACCACGCGTACGGATACGAAACGAATGCTGATTCGTCACCTGGGTTCGAGGATTCGTCATAGTCCCTACAGAGAGTTCGTTTTCACGAATGGAAACCTCTTCATTCGTGGCACACTCCGAATCCGTCAGGTACACATTTTTTTGCCAGGTACACATGTTTTGCTAGGTACACATTTTTTTCCCTAGATTCCATGATCCATGCACGTGTGCGTGAAAACCCCGTACGCCAAGCCACCAGCCGTATTCGTAGTTGCCATGCACATTTGCATGATGACTTGCGAAACCAGAATCTGTTTTCAACGAAACGATTATGAGGTGTGTGGTGGTAGGTGCACACATGTGGGTTAAGTTAGATTTGACCCAAACCCACCCAGTTTTTAATCACAGAAAATGGCTCCTCCTGAAAATTGGTCAAAACGGATTTATCTCATTTTACAATGAAGCCCTTCACATGTAACTTAGTTGATATCATTGGCTGTTAATTAACCTCACCATATACTGATCCGGCAGCTGACAGATGCAATCCACGGAAAAATCCAAACACAATACATGTTTCGAACTTGTCAGAAGTTATGCATGCCTTGATGCTTTTGTGGAATTTCTTGGCTGCATTGAGTTCAGTTTCAATGATTTCTGGATCCTGTGTAGGCAGCTGCTCCTGCCTTGGCACGAAGAAAGTCCTCCTGTGATTCTCAACAAAAAGATCAACTATACTGACCAGTGCATCGACAGGAGGGTATGATTCCTACAGGTACATAATGAGAGAGAGAGAGAGAAAGAGAGAGGAGAGGAGAGAGAGAGACCGACAGAGACAGAGACAGACCGACAGAGACAGACCGACAGACCGACCGACAGACAGACAGACAGAGTGAGTGAGTGAGTGAGTGAGTGAGTGAGTGAGTGAGTGAGTGAGAGGAGAGGAGAGAGGGACGGACGGACAGGCAGAAAGAAAGAGAGAGAGAGAGAGAGAGAGAGAGAGCGAGAGAGAGAGAGAGAGAGAGAGAGAGAGAGAGAGAGAGAGAGAGAGAGAGAGAGAGAGAGAGAGAGAGAGAGAGAGAGAGAGAGAGAGAGAGAGAGAGAGAGAGAGATGGGGAGGGAATATTGGCAAATGAGCTAAACACACACCAGACCGTAAAAGGTGCAACACAGAAGTCAGACAGGGACCATTTATGGTCTGCGGACCACAATTTGGCACACAATCACAATTACTCAAGTGGAAACAGCTACATGCCAATGTCAGTGACAAAGTCACATTGAACATTAAAAACTAACACACAGCAACTTGCCCGGAAGGAAGGTTCACTGGAGTGGTAGAAAGGAAAGAAGTGCCGGAGAAGAACGAACCCAAGACCAATTACATGTATAGTGTTCAGCACTACAAAAGACCACCAACCAGAAAACAAATTAGATGTACTTACGGCACGCATTGCATATCGCTCAGAACCCACATTTGTGATCCACATTCCTTGCATGTCAAGTGGGTGCGGCTGCCTGGATTGTCGTGTCCCAGTGCAGGAGAAAACAAACACAGACAAGATCAGTGGACCATACAAAAGATTCTCAGAAATGACAACAGGATGACCCACACATTGTCAACAAATTCATTCAGACAGTGGAGAAATATAAATGTCTCATACTTAAGCGCAGTTGTAATTCCAATAACGTGGAAAGCTGGGCACAAGGTCGTAAATGTTACTTAGCCCATGCACACCCATGCTGGTGGTGGAGTGCTGCGAGTGCGTGTCACGTGACCCCCTCGTGACTAAGCCGCGTGCGCAGCGTGTGGCCTGGCAAAATTTTATGGACAATCGTGGATGCGGCGTCTAATTATTTGGAGACGTGTTTTGCTGAGCTGTCTTTGTGCGAAGGAGCGTTCTTTGCAGTTGCAATGTGTCAAGTCAAAGATTTTACCTCCCTCCCACCCTTTTGAAGTGGCATTTTGTTTCTCCGGTTGGGGGGGGGGCAAATGGGCCTCCTATTATGCCTGTATGCTGTGACGCCTGATGCCAGGCAGTCGTGTGAGCCCTCGGTGGGCGATTGGCTGGCCTCGGTGGCCGTTTGTGTGCCCTCGGCGGGCAAGATATCGGCCCACGGTGGGCAGTTTGCTGGCCTCGGTGGCAATGTGCGCACCCTTGATGGGTTGTCTGCTGGTTTAACCCTCGACGGGCGGTTTGCTGGCCACGGCAGCCATTTGAGCGCCCTCGGTGGGCAGTATGCTAGTTTAGCCCTCGGTGGGCGGTTCGCTGGCCTCGGCGACCATTTGTGCGCCCTCGGTGGGCAGTATGCTAGTTTAGCCCTCGGCGGGCGGTTTGCTGGCCTCAGCGGCCATTTGCGTGCCCTTGGTGGGCAGTAGGCTAGTTTAGCCATTCAGGTGCCCTCAGTGGGCAGTATGCTAGTTTAGCCCCCGGCAGGCAGCTGCGGGCCGCGGTGGCCATTTGTGCGCCCTTGGCGGGCGGATGCTAGTTTCAGGCATGCATCTTTACTCAATCAATTACTATCAAAGAGCATATTCTTGAATATTTGAATTGTCCAAAAGAAATCATGGCAACCCCCAACCCAATGTGTCTATTGCATGTTTGTGCACGCCATAGTGAGCGGTACGTTGTGCGGGTCTCTGCGTGTCAGAGCATGGGTACACCAGTGGCGTGTGCGTGCATGTGTGCGCTTGCGTCTGTCTGCACGAGTGCACGAGTGCCCAAGCTGGGCGTGCGGGTGCACTTGGAGGTGCTTGCATGTTGACGGGTGCAGGGGCTAAATGTGGGCTTTGCACAGCAAAGCCTAGTTAGCCCATGCACACGCATGCTGGTGGTGGAAGACTCTTGTCCTGTACACTTGAAATGTAACACAGGCAACTGTCAGATCACGGAATGTCAGACCCACTTGTCAGAGATTATGCTTACTGCTGCATGTTTTGACCTGTACAACATCTGGGCTGTATTGCTGTTGGACAACTAACACAATTGCATCACCCCCATTGGAACCACTAGGCTGAGTCTGATCATCTCACCCCGCTACATTAGGAACGCCGTCTATGGCTAAGCTAAGGGTTGTTGTCTGATCATCTCACACCCACTGCATTAGGAACCACGTCTATGGCTAAGCTAAGGGTTGTTGTCTGATCATCTCACACCCACTGCATTAGGAACCACGTCTATGGCTAAGCTAAGGGTTGTTGTCTGATCATCTCACACCCACTGCATTAGGAACCACGTCTATGGCTAAGCTAAGGGTTGTTGTCTGATCATCTCACACCCACTGCATTAGGAACCACGTCTATGGCTAAGCTAAGGGTTGTTGTCTGATCATCTCACACCCACTGCATTAGGAACCACGTCTATGGCTAAGCTAAGGGTTGTTGTCTGATCATCTCACACCCACTGCATTTGGAACCACGTCTATGGCTAAGCTAAGGGTTGTTGTCTGA